ATGTGCATGCCACTCTCAAGGCAATAATCGTCTCCGACCGCACACCAGAACCTTCTGCATTCGTCAATCAATCCCTGCTGGAGACACCGCCTCGGTCATTCCATAGTGTGTTCGTGGAATTGATCGCAGAGTTGGTGGCGCACCCCCGGCTGACCTCTTCAAGGCTTTGCTGTGGATCGACTTCAAAGAAATGGGCTAATTGCTAGTGAGCCGCCCTTCCGTTGTCACCGTTTGTACTCATTTCAAAGAAAAAATAGAAACTGGGGCGAAGTATGATAGATACGCCCACACAAGCACAATGCTGATAAAGAGGATCATCAGGAGCTCGTTTCTTCCTAAGCACACGAAAGCAGTCAACATTGCGACGCAGGTAAGAGTACCAAGACATAGTAGAGTACTGTAACTTCGCCACGTACTTCCTGGAAATCGACGTTTGACGCGGGTGGACCCATTTCTTACTGCGGAAGAGCTCATCATACGCCTTGCTTTCTCTTAGGTATGCCTTTCAAGTTGAATCCGGTACCCTGTTCGTCATACATTTCACGTACCCCCAGTGTCCCAAGTTACGGTGTGCGACACGATGCAAACGCACGAAAACGTCATGTCCGCAGTGCTGTCCAAACTGCACTAGCGACTTCACCTCAAGACTCCTTATATGACACGCGAGGTAGCGACTGATGCTCTTAGGAGCGACAACGGAAGAAAGACGGTGAAGTAGCCGGTGTGTGGAACAAAAGTGCAAAGCTCAGGTCGTTCGCGTACCTAGTGAGCGCAGCGTTCCCCTCTGCTGCCGGTACGCGCGAGCTTATCTGTCAGCTGCATCCGAACAACCATCAACAGTCCCTTATCCACGCTCCTTGCCTTTGTTTTTGTTTTAGAAATTAGACTCCCGTCACTGTTCTCAGAGACCGCTTACAAGGCAGTATAAGGCTTTCGAAGATGGCAGTCAGATCTTTTCATCGAGTCCGTACGCATAACCCTCACGCTCATTTCCTACGAGTATATGCTCCTCATTTAATATCATGGTACTGTGGCTCTATACTGCGCCGTACTACTCTATTGACACTCATCAATGGCTAGTCTTCTAGGTCTGCTTCTCGCCCGGTGCCGAGATCGCAGAACAGCTTAGGGATTTCTCTCGACAACGATGCTCATGTTAACGCTTCTACCGGCAACAACCACATTCTTTGTGACGGTTCGCTCTGGATCCAATCCACAGGTCTTCCTAACTCGATCAGCGAGGAGTCCGCCGATCTATCCGTCATTGGCGAGTGTACTGGCAAAGAGGAGTCGCTCTTTCCTGGTGAGTCTTATACAGCGGCGAGTTCGACACCTGAAGGGCCAGTGACACATTGCCAACCCGTGTAGAGCACGGTTATATACCGAAGGCCTACTTCGAGTACGCCCAGCGCGCGTTATCGACTCTGATTCTCGCGGGAACATTGTGCGTCGTTTAGCCTGTTAAGTACCTCGTGTTTACCAATACGCTGACACTGCTTCGTAGCATGGCCGGAGTTGAAGCTCAACTGCTAAGCCTTATCTTCTCCGCGCCCGACCTGCTAGTGCGCAGTGTCGCCATCGGTTTTGCCGTCACCGCTTTGCTCTCGACGGCATTTGCCGCCTTGTACTGCGCAGTCACGTACATCTGGCTCCGGCAGGAGTGGAGACACAAGCCGCACCACTTCGAGGAGTGGGTTGCAGGCAGCTTAGGCATGATGCTGATATGGTGCAGCGTCTTCCTGGTAACTGGTGAAGATCTCGCTACCGGATAAAAGCATTGTACTAATGTGTCGCAACAGGCGTGTACTCAGGGTTTTTCGCTGTCGTATTCTTCCTGTTTGCGGCTGCCCCTCGGACGATAGCCATATTTTCGGCGGCGATTTTTGGTTTGAGTCCATTTGTCAGCTATCCGACACTATCCCAACTTACTACCACCGCTCTTCGCAACCCAGCTATATGCGGCATCGGGCCCATGTTCTGGTAGGTGCTGTCGATCCCAACCTGTCCACAGACAATCAGCTCACCGTTGCACCACTGCGCAGGGGTTTCTATTACTGGTACGGATTGTACCGTGGCTGGCTTGAGTGGACACCTCATGAGGATGGCTCACTCCCTCGTAGACGCCACGTCTCGTCAGTTTGAGACACAGAGATGCGCGGGCGCGTCTTCAGCAAAACTGCAAAATAGCTCTCAATCGTCATTACCAGCCCGCCGGCTAGCGCCCTGCTTGTCCGCACTGCATCCTACGTAGCATGCTCGAGCTTAAACTATTTAACGTGCCTACTTACAATACATCCATTGTAGCACATCCAACAAATGTACACTACCACATATACGAACATACACGAGCCTACAACCGCGCCTGCGCCTGCGTCCGCGCCGGCCCCTTCCCATGCACATCCTCCTTTGCCAGCTGTCCGCCAAGGAACACAAGCGCCGCACCCTTCACCTCCTCCGTCCACTCGCGCACGAGCTCGAGGTCGTACGTGTTCGCGTCGACACATGAGAAGATTGAGAGCTGGCCGCGCGCCGTGAGCGCGCCCACGTAGAGCTCGCCCGCGCGGCAGCGTAGGTCGTGCCCCTGAGCTCAAGAGACGCAGGCGCACGGCGGGCTCTGGCGCGCCGCGGCCGTGGCCCCTTAGGCGGCGCGGGTAGGTTTCGGGTAGGATGTGGTCGCGCTGCGCACGTATACCTGGTCTCAGTACAGAGTGACGACCAGTACACGAGACTCACGTTTCCCATGCTGGCACCCCCGTTTGAGAACACGCATGGAGCAAGATCTGTGAACCTGCCCGCCTCCGCAGCGACTGCTGGCGGCGCGACGTCGCGCCCCTCCTGCCGTGCGCGCCACGCCAGCGCAGCCGTCCGCGTCCGTTCGTTGCGCGTTGGCAGCCGGAGCGCGTGGAACTCGTGCAGGAGCGGGTGGCTCAGCAGGCTTTTGGACTGCGCCCGCGCCATGCGTGCGCGTGCAAGGAACCGCGCAGGTGACAACAACGCTTTGAGTGGTGGCGCGCCAGTGGCATCCATATCGGGCGATGCGGGGCGTGGCATGAACGGGAGCGTGAGCGTGTAGAAGCTGATCGCGATGTAGACCTCGTCTGCGCCGCCGGCGTCGTACCAGCCGCGGTCGAGGTACGGACGGTAGTTCACCGGTCCTGTGTAATGCATCGGCTGCTGCGCGCGGTACTCCCACTCTGCGTCGCTGATCTTGCCCTGCCGGCGCAGGCGGTGTAGCACGCGCGCGAAAGCGAGCTGGCTCAGTACCGGGAGCGCGTTGCCGACGGTGATGCCCAACGCGCGACAGGTCTGCGCGATCTGCTGGGATTCGGAGATTGTGAAGCGGATGTTGATGATACGCGAGAGAGGCGTGGTGCTTGTAATTTCGCGACGAGTGGGGAGGGTGTGACCACCCTGCAGACAGATGTTACTGTGCAGACAGACGCGTAGTGGAAATGGCGTACGGTCATTTTGTTTGCTTTAAGTTCCTGGATAACTTTGGCTATCGCAAGACGCCATCGCCTGCGAGCTGGACTAAGCTTCGCGCTAGGAGCATAGGCTTCCGTGGGTAACACGGTCTGAAGACGAGTCGCCAGAGGTGTGATGTCGATCTTCGCCTCTTTGGACAGGCTGGACAGCTCCTGGCACAGTTCCCGCACGATTGTAGCATTTCCCATTGCGTCTGTGATATGGTGTACGACAGGAATGAATATATGCCAATGGCATGGCACGTCCTTCCGCGGGCCC